CCCAGGGACAGTGGGGAGCAGAGCAGGCTAATCAGTGAAGTCCACTGCGGAGGGGGCAGCGGGCAGGACAGGAGAGGTCTGCTGCGCCCTGGGGTCCCTCCCTGGCCGGGGTCGGGCCGCGGCGAAGCAGCCGCCACCAGCCTCACGGGACTGTGCTGGAGTCTGTGTGCTGCAGGGGGCCGCACCGTGTATACTTCTGTTACAGAAGGATCTTTAACTGATTCTTTTTTAAAGTAAAATTGAAATTTTACTGTAGAATTATTATGAGTCAGTTTCTTTGAAGATAGTAAGTGCATTTGAATTTGCCTCCTTGCTGCAGGTAGTTCAGCTCATCAGCACGGAGATACTGCCGTACGCCAACTTTATTCCCAAGGAGTTTGTTGGTCAGATGATGACGATGCTCAACAGGGGCTCAATACACTCTCAGTCTTCTTCATTTACAGGTATGTCCGTCGGTGATTTCTGTCTGTTGGTAGAAGCGTCGACGTGCTCGGAAGGAGCTGCATAGAAAGGTTCGCGCCTGTGATTATCGCAGATGCAAAGTGGAGAGTCTGAGGGACTTTCCGGAAGTGACGTGGCACCTTAGCGCTATGAAGGGGAGTGTGGGCAGTTCTCTGCGACTCAAGTGTGCTGGGTGGAGCACATCCTGCATGTGAGCTGACGTCAGGCCTTGCAAGCTGGCGCGAGTGATCGCACTTGTCAAGTCGGGGCTATTGGGTCGTCACCAGTGTGCTGCTTAGTGATCAGTTGTCTGAGTCGCGCTTTGTCTTGTGGAGAACGGAAGTGCCGGGCCTTGACGGACTCAGAGCTCCCTCACAGAGGTCGATGGCGCAGCATCTGCTGAAGGCACTAACGTGTGCACTGTGCGTGCAGGGCGTTACCCTAGCTGCTCTCTGACGTGTCCTATTCCTGAGGACAGAGTCTTCGTGTCTCAGAAGCGGGAATGGACTTAGGAGGTGGGAAGCAGACGTGCTCTGGAGGCCGGGCTTGTCCTTGCAGGGCCTTCTCGCTGCTCTTCTGCAGCGTGCGCGCCTCGCGGAGAAATGCTGCGGCGCGTCCGGTTGCTCCTGCTTCCAGGCTGTGCTCAGGTGGCCAGTGTGACTGGCGCGCTAGTGTGGCTTTTCCCTAAGTGACTGAACAGTTGTAGCGTTGGGCCGTGTTTCGTCACTCAGCAGACTTGCCGGAGCCGCGACTGGCTGCTACGCTGTGCGTTTATCTGCCGCGCGGCCGCTCCGTGTCTCTCACACCGCTTACTTCTCAAGCTGCTTTTTTCCTATTCCAGACAGTTTTTAATGCTGATCTGGTTAAGTGCAGTTTTTAGCAAACATGAAAATCTCACAGCAAAACTTTCAAATCCATTTAATGTAGACAAATTTTTATTATTGAGAGTATGTAACAATTTTCTAGGTAAACTTGATAATTAGATGTAAATATTCTGAGCTAAATAGACTTCTGAATTACCTTGTATACTTTTTCTAGAAGATTTTTTTTTAAAGACTTATTTGTGCATAGAGAACTGGGGTCCAGGCCAGAGGTGCAGGGGCAGTGAGAGGCTTCACCAGAGACAGAGTGGGGAGCAGGAGAGGTCGACTGACAAAGTGCACTGCTGAGGGGAGCAAAGGCTGGGTCAGGAGAGGTCTGCCGCGCCCTGGGGTCACCTCCGGGGTGGGGATCGAACTCACTGAAGTGGCTTCAGCTTCTCAGTGCTGGGCCACCAGGGAGGCCTCTAGAAGATATTTAACGACACCCCTTGTCATTTTTTCCAATGACTGTCGCAGGACACAACAACTTCTCAGCTTTAGTCAGAGTTTTCCTTAACCAGACTTCCCCTGCTGCACAAGGCAGCCTCTGGACACAGAGGCTCCAGCGGTCACTTGGTCCCTACACCCAAGCTTGACCCGGCAACCGAAGCTCAGCAACATTTGAGGATTCCACGAACACGAGGGAGAAGACCAGGGCGGATGACGAGGGGAAAGTAGGATCAGTGTCGTATGAGGAGACTTCTGAAACACTAGCTAGGGTGCCAGAAGGTAAGAGATGTTGTGTCCATGAAGCGAGAAAAGATGCCATTAAAAAGGAGAACAAGGAAAAGCTCACTAAAACGAAAACTGTGACAGCTGAAATAAATGTGATGAAGGGGGAAGATAAACATTAAGAAAGTGAGCCCACAAGTAAAGACAAAAAAGTGGGCAATCTGAGAAGAAATAAAATGACGCCAAGAGGGCTAACACGTGATAACAATAGCTACTCTGGAAAGAAAGAATAGAATAAAGCCAAAGGAAATTATTGAGGAAACAAACAGAATAAGTAAATCTCCAGATAAAAAATGGGTCACGTAGGGGTTAAGTCTCAGACTGTCAAGCTATCACAAGTTCGATCCCCCGGCCAGGAGTGACCCACAAAACACAGCCGCCCCCTCCTGTCTCCCCGCTGCTCCCCTCAGCCGTGTGTGTCAGTGGATCCGCCTGTTCTGCTCCCCGCTCTGTCTCCGGTGAAGCCTGTTAGCCCTCTCCCCTCCCGCCTCTTGGCCTACACCCCACTTCTTGTATGCATGAATAAAAATAAATCTTAAAAAAAAGGTTATTCAGCCCAAAGCAGTAAAAAAAAAAAAAAAATGTGCAATAAAGAGAAGATACTAAAAGATTTAAAAAAGAAAAGAATTCAACACAAAAAATGTCGTGTCAAATGAAGTTACTTAAATGCTGGTTTCAGAATTACAAATGGAGAGGGTCTTCACCCGGCCGTCCTTACCTGTGGACATGACTGGCCAGGTGTGGGTGGAAACGGCGATGCCCGCCTGGCGCAAGGCGCAGCTGGAGCTTCGACTCGGGGCCTGGGGGTCACGTGAGGGTTCTTCGTGAGCAGACCACTCGGGGTGGCGCCTCTGCTGGAACCCGCCTCTGAGCACTGTAGAAACAATGTTCTTAGCTACCCTGGACCACGCTGCATGCAAACAAAGGAGCAAAGCAAGAAAAGGGAAGCGGGGAGGTCTGGGAGGTGGGGCAGAGTCGGAGACTCAGACTCGTTCCGGGTGATGGCGGAACGACTCCAGGCTCCACTGCAGCCCGGCTGGAGGCCGCTGGGCGGCCGGGCGAGGCCGGGCTCAGGCGGGGTGCTGCGGAGAGAAGCAAGAAGCCGTTGCCACGGGCTTGACCGCGTGGCGGCCCCGGGGCGCGGCCTCGCGCCGAGGGGCAGGAGGCCACGGCAAGGACGTGGCCGCGAGCGGCTGGCGCGGGGAGGCGTGTCCTCGTCACTGCTGCACAGACGCCGCAAGCTGGGCTGCGGGGGTCGAGGCGGCCTCAGCAAGTGCGGTTTTGGCTGTGAAGAGCAGTTATGGCGAGGCTGTTCACCTAACCTCGTATTGATCATCCGACGTTGTTAATTTTGCAGAAGCAGAGATTGATATTCGTTTGCGAGAGGAATTTTCTAAAATGTGTTTTGAAACATTGCTCCAGTTCTCCTTCAGTAATAAAGTCACGACGCCCCAGGAGGGCTACATCTCCCGAATGGCGCTCTCCGTGCTTCTCAAGCGGTCTCAGGATGTGCTGCGTCGCTACATGGAGGACGAGCGGCTGAGCGGCAAATGCCCGCTTCCCAGGTAGGCGCCGCTGCCGACGGGCCGGCCGCGAGGGCTGCCCAGTGCCGCGGGTGCGGGCTGAGCCGCAGACACTGCCGGCGTCGCCGGCCGCGGAGCGGTGCGTGTGCCACTGTCGGCGCTCTTCGCGCGCCTCACAGAAGTGGGGCGACACACAGGTGTGCATCAGATGGCCTCCCTGAATCGGACCTAAAACTCACCTCCCCCGAGGGTCTCTAGGTCAGTGCCGTGGGCCTCCGGGGTCTTCCCTGGGGCTGTCGCCAGAGAAAGTCGCAGGGAGCTCATTCGCTGCGAGCCCCCAGTTGTCCAGCAGTCTCCCCAGGGTTTCCGCTCCGCGGGCGTTTCCCTCCCTTGCCTGGCCCGTGCGCGTCTCCCCGAGGCCCGAGCCCGGCAGCGGAGGCGGCCCTCGGTGCTGCCTGGGGAGGAGAGTCCCAGGGAAGCCTGACGGACACGGACGCTGGCGTGCACTGCCCAGTCCCGAAATCAGGAGGGAGGAAAGCCCCGGGCCTCTGCCCCCGCGTCGGGCGGGCGTCCCCGCCGTTCGCGCGTCCACTGTGATGAAGCTCTGTGGGCGGACTGGCCGGCTGCTGGCAGGGCAACTAAGTGCCTCCCAGAGACTTGTGTTCACTGATGTCTCAGGAGCGTAGCAAGTTTCCTCAGTTTGTAGCATTGGAACTTACTTGACTGGCGCACATCTGTTTTAGACTCGATGAATGGAAAGTAGAATCCCCTTCGTTTCTTTTCGTCTTGATTATCAGTGCACATTAGCCATTGGTGTTTCCGTCTTGGGCTCCCACTGCATTTTGAATTTCTAGAGCAAGAATTTTACTTTCCCATATTCAAGTCTACGTACCGGAACATTTCCACAGACGAGTGTTAGTCCCTTAATGCGATTGAAAATTGGCTCATCAGAATTCATCTCCAGCATATATTTGGAGAATTACTGACAGACTTGCTCCGCCTAGAGTGTTTTGTGTGAGGCGGCAGCACGTTCTCTGCCCGCAGAAGCAAGCCCGCGCACGTCCTCACGGCTGAAGTCTTGACCGCGCTACCTTGATCTCAGAGCCTCCCGGCAAGTGCCGCGGCCGTGGCTTTGCCTTACTGGGGGCAGGGTCACCCTCGCACCCCGCCTGGAGCGGGCGCCTGGCGCGCCGGTTCCTGGGACGTGGGGCCGGCCGGCGGCCGAGCCGCAGGGCAGCTTGCTCGGCTCCTTCGGGGCTGGTTCTGGTTGTGCGCACAGGAGCTGGGCTGGCCGGCGGCAGAGCCAGCAGCAGGGCGGGGCTGCCGCTCCCTGGGCCCCGTCACACCCGGCTGCAGCAGCTGCCCGAAGAGTCGTGGTGCAGAGACGTGGCCCTTGGCACCCCCAGGGAGGCCAAGCCGCTTTATTGCTGTGGGGAGGAAGAAGTCAGGCCTCTTTGACGGACCCCTCACGCCGAGTTCACTCTGCCATGTTTCCGCGTGGCGCCACGTTTCTGAGCGTGTTTCTTACTTGATGCGTTACAGAGCTGTATGAGCGACGTTGCAGTTTTAAATATACTTCTAGATAAAATAGGTGCTAAGAAGCACTGGTCATCTTTATTTCCATGTTAGCTTCCCCTTTCGGTATTAATTGAAAAGGAAAAAAGATCGCAAAGAAGCTTGAAAGCACATTTATGAAAGATTTTCATTGTATGTGGCTCTATGTAATCTTAAAAATAACCTTAGACTTGCATAAATAGATTGCCCCCTCCGTTTTTAAGTGATTGTTTATGGTAAGAATAATTATAGATCTTATTTCACACCGAAGTTTGTAAAATGATTTCTCTTTTACAAGATTCGAAAACTAACACTCACCATTGCATTGTATCGTATTCAGTAGTTTCCCAGAGGACACCTGTTCATATAAACCTAATGCAGACACGTGTGTTACATCATAAATAATGGAAATACTTTCCCATTTCCTTTCTAGGCAACAAGTAACAGAAATAATATTTGTTTTAAAAGCGGTCAGTACTCTCATTGATTCACTTAAGAAAACTCAGCCTGAAAATGGTAAGTGCTTCGCAGCTTATTCTAAACTCAGCATTTATGTACTATTTGTGATGTACTTTTTACGTATTACTAAGTTAACTGCGTTTTAAGAACATAACAGCTATTAGACTTTCTTTTCTTCAGCCTTTATCACGGCAAAGCATTAAATTCCTTAAGATGTGAATTAAGGGCCCTCCCTGGTGGAGCAGCGGGTTTAAGCACAGCACCGGGGAGATGCTGATCCGGCCAGGGAGGGACCCCAGGGCGCAGCTGACCCCTCCTGTCTCCTGGCTGCTCCCCGCTGTGTCTGCTGGATCCTCACACACACACCCCACCACCACATCGCCTCTGGTCTGCACCCTGGCCTTATATGCATAAATAAATAAAATCTTTTTTTTTAAGATGTTACTTGAGTAAAATTTACATGTATGTTTTATCTTCATGTTAAAGAATAGTTTAGCTGGCTTTAAAATCTTTTTTAAAAAAGATTCATTTATGCATACAAGAGCTGGGGTGCAGGGGTGAGGGCTCCCCAGAGACAGTGAGAAGCAGAACAGGCGGATCCTCTGAAGCCCACTGCTGAGGCCCCCCGGCCGGGGACCCACTGGTGCTGGAGCGGCTGCGGGCAGCTTTCGGAGCTGAGACTCGCCTCCCTGAGCCCTCAGGAGTCTGCTTTGCCTTCTTCTCTGAGTTCAGTGCAGCCAAGATCTGCAGAGGGTTTTTAAAAAGACTTTAAGGAATTTGAGTGTTTTCCCAGACTTTGATATTGGCATCAGTGTGTTTCTGCATTTTCCTCCAACTAACCAAGAACCGGTCTGCTCAGTTGACTGCCCCTTAGGGGCATCTGGATAAGTGTCCACCTGTGCGCTCTTTCTTAGCCCATTGTTTCATTGTGACAGAAAACGCGCATGTGAGACACCGCGCGGGGACAGCGCTGTGCTCGGGCCTCGTGCCCACCCTTGGCTGCATCCCTCTGGCGGCGGCGGCTGCCCGGCCCCCGGAAGCCGGCAGCTCGCTCTCTGCCCTGTGGCTGGCTCTCAGGCGGCACAGGAGCCGCGTGGGCTGATTCTGCCAGAGCCTGACGTCTCTCTGGGCCCTCGGGTCACCGCCGTCCGCTGCCCGCCCGGGAGCGCCTTCCTGGCTGGCGGCGCCGCGGGAGTGAGAGGCCGCATCCCCGTCCACACTTCACTTTGGGGAGTGGCTCGAGCGTGTGGAGATTGCCGTCGTTGAGCTTCGCCAGGCGCCACTCTGCCTCTCGCAGCGGCTGCCTCGGCTCTGTCCCGCGTCCAGGGGTGCGCGGCCAGCCGCCCCCGCGGCAGCAGCTTGCTCGCTGCTAGCGGCCTTGCGGCGCGAGGAGCCGCGCTCGCCGGCCGTCTGCTCTCGGGCTGTCAGGCCTGCGCCGTGCGCCTGCGCCGCCGAGGTGGCGCTTCCTCCCCGTAATCGGAGCCAGCCTCGGCGCGCAGGTGCCCGGTAGTGGAGGACACGGTCCGCTCTGCCGCGCTGGCCGCCCGCGCACAGTCGGCCTGCCGCAGGGGTGCGCACGTGGCCCGCCAGCGGCCTGGCAGGGAGAGGCGCTGCTGCGCCAGCCGAGGCGGGGCCGGCCCCGGCTCCCCCAGCTCTCGGCCTCACAGGCGCCTCCACAGGCGCCAGGCGGGGCGGCAGCGGGGAGCCCCGCCCCGCGAGCCCGTCCACTCTCCACCCCCCACCCCCTCTTTGCTGAGAGACTGGGAAAGTGTCGCAGAGCAGCTGGAGCAGACCCGTCACTGCTGAGAGGTGTCACCGGAAATTAGTTCTATAAGCCCAGCGCACAGAACCGATGAGAGCAGGCAGCTCGCCTGACCCTCCCTCCCGCTGCACCCACCAGCCTCGGCCTCCCCCTTCCCCGTCTTGGGCGGCTTCAGGGGAGACGGGGGCAGGCTCCAGCTCGGCACCCCGACACAGCCCTGGAGCGAGTATGAGTAATGGTGACCGGTGACAGTGGGTACTGAGTGCAGAATTCCCGTGGCCGGATCCGTTTCAGAAGCAGTGAATCAGATCAAGCTAAACCTGTTCTTTGCCTGGAAGCCTTTAATAAATGTGTGTGATTGTCAGTGAGCCCCTGGAAGAGAAGAGATTGCCAGTCTTACTTGACTCGGGTTTTCTGAGAAGCTACGTAAGTCCTACTGGCTTGAGAATTTCAGAAGTTGAGAGGGAGCGAGACTGGGTCTGGGAGTTCATTTGCAGTGAGAATGAGTCCGAGGCCGTCGCAGGGGAACCTTTTGGATACTCGTAGTCCCGTAAAGAATCGGGTTTTCTCTGATTGTTGTTGAAATGTGCGCCGCAGGCCCCAGCGGTCATTCTGAAAATGAAGGTCCGAACCTTCCCAAGAGCTCCTTGGCTCAGCGGCGCCGCCTCCCTGGCCTGGGCGCGCGCCCACGGGATCCCCTGGTCCCCAGACGGTACAGGTGAAGGCGGCCAGAGGGCGCCTGTAGCGTCCAGAATCTGCAGCCGCGGGGGTTTGCTCCAGTCCCGGTGCAGGTTACGCGGGTGGCTGCGCTCGGCCTTCACCCGCCCTGTTGGCTTATAAATGTGCGTTTTGCGTTGCAGTGGATGGAAACACCTGGGCCCAAGTGATCGCCTTGTACCCCACCTTGGTAGAGTGTGTCACCTGCGCGTCCTCGGAGGTCTGCTCTGCGCTCAGAGAGGCGCTGCTTCCCTTTAAGGACTTCATGCAGCCGCCGGCACCCAAAGTCCAGAATGGAGAGTCGTGACCGGCGCCTGGAGCGCTCCTCCGTGGTCTCGTGGGAGAAGGACAGCGCCTCCTGCAAATAGTGTTTGGCAGCTGTTGTCGGCTCCTTTAACTTATATTTCCCGAGTTCAGTAACTCCTGTTACAGGCTTACGTGTCCACAAGCCTCCGGAGAGAGCAGCAGGTAAGCCGCTCCTGAGCAAACGTGCCGGCAGAGAGAATCCATTCTGCAACACACCTGCTCCCTGTCTGCGGTCGGTGATTTAAAAGTGAGCTGTGTACCGGTGCGGTGGGATGTGCTCATGATGGACTTCTCACAAAGAAATTTCGCTGAGTAAGGTTTATTGGGCTGGTGTTTTTGCACCCTTTTTCAAGTTCAAAACTGTCATAACTTTTATGCAAGATGGTACTGTAACATTCCAGTGATCATAACCAGCCTTTGTAAACTGGGGGAACCGGTCTACGCGCCCGCATAATAAATGGTACAGTTCTGTATAAATTAGTCGCATTTGTTATTTACGTTGTAGAACACCGATGCTGTGCAGTGCTTGAAGCTGTATTTATTACCACCACAAACTCGCTTACGTTTCTACTTGTGATTTGACTGCGAGGCGCACCGGCCCCGGGCCGGCGGGGCTGCACGCTCGCCTCCCGCCAGCGCCCGGCGGCGGCCGCGCAGCTCTGCGCCTCCGTCGTACCTCGTTTCTTTCGGTGTCTGCCCGACTTCCACACGCCTCTGTTTTTATATTTGCTGTCTGGATTTTAAAGACTTCACATATTTTATATTTCTACTGTTTTTTCCCTCCACTGACGAACCATAGTTACCAGTGTGTCTGAATGATGACCGAGGCAAGATGGTTCTGGATTTCCTAGAGTTTTGCCCGTGAGGATTTATTCATTTCAGTGCTTCACTTTGTCATGTTTTCTGAAGAAGAAAAGGAACTTTGCTGGCCGCGAATATAAAGCGTGCGTGTGCCCCAAGACAAGGAAACGTGCATTTTCGGAGCCGGGGAGACACCCGGGGCCAGTAACCGTGGCGGAGAGGACGCCCCGCGGTCGCGGCCCACGCTCCGTGGACAAGGAGCGCCAGCACAGCGACTGGCCAGCCCTGGCTCTTGCTGAGGGACGCCGGGATCACCTCGTTCTGACTCGCGTTTCTCAGTTGTGTGGAGACGCCTGACACGATGACTGTCCCAGGAATGCCAGGGGTGCCAGTGTTGTCTTAGAGTGCGCTAGGCCTTTGGCTTTCATCGGGCCCTGAATCCAGTCTCCAGGACGATGCTCGTGACGGACAAAGGCAGAACCCCGTCCTGAGCCAGGCGCCGTGTGGAGCCGCGTCGCTGTGCGCGCTTTGTCTGCCTGTCATTTGTAAACTCGGGAGGCCTTTTTTGAGGAGACGTTGTTTATACAGATAATGAATTTCTATTTTATAACTCACTGAAGGCTGCGGTAAAACAGCACACCACCCAGTCTGTCTGCGGCGTTTTCTTTACCGGAATACCGGGATCGAGCTGCGCACCCAAGTTCATCCTGTTGGGATGTTGTGGGCGTCGGGAAAGGGCTGTGCTGGGCGGGCGTGGGGCGGCCCCGGGCG